CAGCAGGACGCCTCCCCATCATCACCATCATACGTCATTCAACCCACCGAAACATCCGCCTCAATGATGCTAATGGCATTCGCCGGCTTGCATTCCACAACTTCAATTTCGAATCTGCCAAGAAAACCAACAACTTCATCAGCAGCCTTCTCCACGTCTCCCTACGTTTTGTTGTTGTACTGAATAGCAATGTTATCACCTGCCGTGAGGGCAGCGAAATTCCTGAGAAAAAAAACCTTCAAATTCGCTCTATCGAGAGTTTCCATCACCTTAGAGAATTTTCCAGTATCGCTCGGGGGTTGTGAATTTCCAAGAAGTCCTTCGTCACTGGTTGGAGCTTCACTGACCGTCCTTTCGGCAACGACACGTTCTTCACTCGAACAAGATCCCCTGCAATCAGCAGCGTTGGAATATATGTTCAATCTCGTCAGGTAAGCTCAGGAGTTCGGGTAGAAACCAATAAAAATTACCAGAAATTTCATATTCGCATATGCAACCATAGTTAGCCATGTACAGTGAGTGTCAAATTGACAAGTATTTGACACTGTAAGTTTGATACGCAAATGTGTGCTATTTCAGAGTAAAAATTATGGTGAACAAGTTATCGCTATCACAGCAGTCCCAAACGGGTACTTATGATTACAACACATGTTCATAGCCATTGCTACATTGTATATGCGATATACTTCCAGATTGACTCTCATTAATCTCGGAAAATAACGCACATTTGCGTGTCAAATTGGTACGTACTGCACATATAGTTTCCTCCACGGAGCCAGTACTCAGTGGAGAGTAGAGGAAGCTCACCTTCCTGTAGGACTAGATTCTGCATCATCCAATAGGGAATATAACAGAACCCTTCCTCAGCCGTAAACTCCAGAACGCCACAATGGGTCGTACGGGGCTGACAAAAAGGATGTTATGAACCGCCCTGGGAGGGTCCTCTACGATGGCATGTTTCGGACCTATTCCGTATCTTACCTCCTTCAAGTTAGATATTTGGAATAGCATAGGATAGCTCACATTCAGCCGTGCTAGTTGGTCCAGAGCTGACTGTGGCAGGAGAATTTTATTACCCTGAGGGCAAACGAGAAAACATCAACCTCTTAGGAAAATACACCTTTCCGGAAAACAGAGTGCACGCGTCGCTGTACTATGCAGAAAATATACACATGATCAACTACATGTGTTGGTGACAATATGAAAATTCTGAGGAAATTTC